TTTATATTTACCTGATTATTATCGGTGTCATTTTAATCAAAAATCATAGTAAAATTTTGGTTTAGGAATAAATATTATAATCAAATTTATACTTACTCACTAATAGTCGAGATATTTAAATTATTAGATTAGTATCTGAGCTTTCGTAAATCGATAAGTATGTACAGTACATTCAACTTACTTGCTTGGAAATGGATCAATTTCATATAATAGTGAAACGTGAAATTAGTATATTGTATCGGCAACTTGATCAAATAGTCAAATGGAAACTAAATTTATTGAAAATAATACACCCATACTGATTTTTTAACATACAAATATTATATTCGTTACTTTTAATGAATATAGCATTTAAAAAAATAATTTGTCTAAGTTCATAATGAACATATAAGTCTGATTTTATATGATAATCGTTCAGAGTAGAGATGGGTTTCATGCAAACGCATGATTCCTCAATCATGTGCATTAATGCGCATGATTCGGAATCATGTGCATTAATGCGCATGATTCGGAATTATGCGCATTTTATCTCATCTAAATTTTACATAGGAAAATTAAAGTATATTTAATTTAAGCCAAGATGTATAATGCCAGGCAAAATTAAGAAATAGGAATGTAGAAGTTTTGAAAATTTCGAAAAAAAAATGAATTAAATAAAGATAAGAAGGGTTGGGAAAAAAATTTTGGCAAATATCTGGTATTTTCTGGAGGGAAAATATAATATCAAAAAAATAATATCATGCGCATTTTATATAACATGCACATGTTATTATAAAATGCGCATTTTCTTCATATCTACATATAATGTTGAGTAATTTTTTTTTTGTCCCTAGAAATTAATTTTCAATTTCTATAGATATAATAAATTTGTGAAATTTTAGTATAGGTATCCCTCTAATAAATGCATTATTAATAAATTGACTGCAAAGTAAAGTCATTTTATACTGAATGGGATAAATCTGCTACCATAAATAGTATTGTAAGTAATATTATCTTTAAATGTATTATTTACAAATACCATTTCTTTATCGGATTTTAAATATTTAGATAAAGTTTCAAATTATTTTTCAATTTAAAATAGTTTCATAAATTTCTGAAGCTGAAGGTCGTTTTTCTAGATTATCATCCAAACAACTTTTTAAAAGTTCTTCTTAGCATTTTTGCTATACCTTTAATAACAGTTGGTTTAAATCCTACGCAAATGATTGTAGGTAAAGATGGGCACCATGTGCATGATGCTCATGTTGGCATACTATTATGCATGTGCATGGTATGCACATAGTGCACGCAAATGTGTCAAATTCGGAGTTATAATAGTTTTAAAGACAGTAAAACAAATTAGATATTAATTTTTTGGCAAAAGCTACGAGCACAACATTCACGTACTTATATGCATAGAAATGACCAGCACTACTATAATACACTTACCCTAACGCTAACTCTAACCCTAACCCTAGCCAATGCTGTACACATAAGTCACGTAAATGTTGTTCCCGTAGCTTTTCCTTAATTTTTTAGAAATGTTGCATGTAATACAGCCATGTACACCATGCAACCATGAAAATCACGTGCATCATGCAGCATGGTACGGTCTAAAATGCGCATGGTGCTCATCTCTAATTGTAGGTGAATAATTATATTCAGTAAATACAATTCTTCCTGATGAAATTTCCCACATAATTATTCCAAATGAATAAATATCTGATGCTTTAGTAAACCTGTTTTCACCATGCAAAATTTCTGGAGCTATATAAGGCAAACTCCATAAATTCCTTTAATTTTGTATTTGTAGTTTTATTAATTGCAATAGCAAGTTCTAAATCACCAATATATGCATTATGTAAGTCATTTTTAAATATATTTCCACTATGTAAATCACAATGAATTATATTATGTGAATTAATTAGTTGAAGATCAAGTACAATATAAGATAATAATTCTAATTTTTTCTCCTATTTCATTCGTGCGATTTCATAAAGATTCATAATGATCTTTTATCTGCGTGTTGCATAACTAAAATATACTTATTGTTAGCTTGATATTTTGATACTCCATAACATTGCAAAAATGTAGAACTTTCGGATCCAATTCTAGAATATGCAATTAACTTTTAAAAATGATAAATATTAATAACCTTTTATAACTATAATATTTTATCTATATTAAACATTTACCTCTTTTAAAATTTCTTCATAGCTATTTTCAAGTTCATTAATTAATTTAAGTGCGACTATTTCTTTTCTAGTGCCATTAGTTATAGGGGCGTCCAATTAGCAGAATAAACAGTTGCAAACCCACCTTCTCTGATTTTTTCTATAATTTCAAATTCTTTAAATGGAATAAATGGCATTGATAAATTATTTTCAGATGATAATCTTTTAAAAAAATCATCGTTAATATTTTTACTATTAGTTATTCGTTAATATTTATTACTTTTGGCTTTTTGTAACCAATCATTAGCTTTTTCTTGGTTGGGTATTGTTCCAATGCCATTTCGATAACATAATCCAACTTTATACTGCCCACTGTAATAGCCATTTTCAGCAGATTTCAAATACCATTTGAATGCTTTTTTTTTATATTTGGCAATGTGTTTAATGACTTTTCCCATATTTTGTTTCAAAATTGGAAGGGTTGCTTTTATTAATCAATAATTACTATTTTCATTTCGCATAATTTGCTACCTATAAAAAAGATTATTAAAACTGCTACAATACAGAAATTTTTTTAAAGAAATTGAAAATTCTAATTACCCTGATATTTATGGCTGTTATTAAGTGAAATGAGGCTACTTTTATAATGTGAATCAACATATATTTGAGTATATTCATTTTTTACATTTAGTAGCTTATTATCAGATTCAGATAATTCAGATAAAATATTTTCATTATTCTGCCATTCTGTAAAAAGTTCATAAATTTCTTTTGCAGTTGGTCGTTTTCTGGCTCTATATTCCAAGATTTTTTCATTAAATTTGCATATCATATTGCTGTATTTTCATAAATATGTGGTCGTAAGCCATTGCATACTTGTAATTGAAATAGTAATTCAGATATCTGGACAAAAGGAATAGTTCTACCATATAAAATTTCCAACATGATTATTCCAAATGAATAAATATCAGACTCTTTTTGTATATAATCGTTGTTTTAAAACTTCAGGAGCAATGTAAGGTAAAATTCTATAAATTTTATAAATTTTAGATTTCAATGCAAAATTAGCAGTTATCGAAAGTCCTAAATCAGCAATATAAGCACTCTTCAAATTATCTTGTAGTATATTTCCACTATGCAAATTCTGATAAATAAGATTATGAGAATTAATTATCGAAAAATCTGATGCAATACATTGTAACAAATTTAATTTATCATTCCAATCCATTTGCGCAATAGTATAGTTTTTTGCATAACAACCTTCTGAAGCATATTCCATGATAAGGATATAATCTTTAAAAACTTTATCTTTTGATACGCCAAAGCATTTAAAAATGTTGGATTTTTAAGAACTATGTCACTATATGCTTTTAACATCTAAATTATTAATATAAATGATAAATTACGAATAATAATATACTGCAATCGAATTTTAATAAAGATTACCTCATATATAAATTTTCATAATAATTGTTCGATTCATGGAGTAATTTAAGTGCAATATTCCTTTCAAATTGCGGGTTTTTATCAAGCAATTTAGCACAATATACAGTTGTAAATCTACCTTTACCTATCTCTTTAATATCTTCAAATTCATCATAAGAAATCTATGATAATTGGTGCTAAAATAAATCATTATTTTTTTCAATGATCAATTTCTGAAATTTCATAGTTATGCATCCATTCGTTTTTAGCTAATATTATCTACAATAGCTTAATCCATTGTTCAAGATTGTCTAGCCATGACAAAGTTGTGGCTTCAATAACTATGGCTTAAACTGGCGCCATGTCTTTACATATTCAATTGTGGCTAAAATCAGCTTTAGATATACTTGAGTCATGTGGACCAATTATGTTCAATATTTTGCCGATCTTTGTATCATTATACACTATGACTCCACTTCAGTACTGCAGATTGCCGTCAAAGTGTATTTCTCTGAATTTCTCAACAACTACTTGATAAAATTGGCTGAAAATTTTACAGTATATTGATGTGGTATTTGACTAGAACATATAAAAATTCCAGCCAATTTAATTAATAGATCTTGAGTAATCACGTAAAAACTAAACCTAATTTGGTTAAAATAGGTTAAAATACTTGCCTATCGTTTTTAGGCAATAACTCAAGAATGAATAACCCAAAATAGATGAGCATTAAATATTTTATAGCCAAATAAGCTATCTAACTATTTTAAAAATTTTAGCTATTTTGCATTGGTAAATCTTGAGCAATTATTTAATAACTATAAATAATTTAGTCAAAATTATTGTTTATAGTTTTTATGCATTTACTCAAAATTTACCAATCCAATTTAATTAAAATTCAGATATGTTATAGCCTATTATCATTTTTAATAACAGTAAAAATTCCAACCAATTTAGATTAGTAGTTGCTGAAAAAAGTATAGCTAGATATTAGTATAAATTTAAAATAATATAGAATAAAAAATTTCAAAATTTCAAAATTTACAATATGTTCTAGCAATGAATTTCTCAATAGCTACTAGGCCAAAATGGATGAAAGTTTTATTGAAGATTGCAAATTTATTAGGCTATAACATATAAAAATTTCAGCTCATTTGGATTACTAGTTCTTGAGTAATTGCTTGAAAACTAAAACTAATTATGTAAAATAATTTTTTATAATTTTTAAATAATTACTTTAAAAGTACTAATTCAAATTAGTTGAAATTTTAATTTATTATTGCACAATAATATATTTATCTACTATAAAAGTTTATTCAATTTGAAATGGTAGTTATTGATAAATTATAGTAAATATTAATATAAATTTAAAAATATATAATTCAAAATTTATTTATAATTAATTTCTATTTATTATTATTATTATATAGTCATGTCAAGAATTTGAACTTTATCATTTTTACTAACACAAAATTTGCCATTTTTTTCTGCTACTGGTAAATATTGTTGTTGTTTAAATTTATCAAGTAATTTTGTTCTAAATTCAACTAATTTACTATTAATATCTTTAAGATGTAAATAAGCAAATTGATAAACATCTAAATATTTATTTATCCATTTTTGCTCATTTTTTTGTTTAACTGTTAAATCTTTTTCATGATTAAAATACATATCAAATCGAGCTTGTACTGTATGAGTACCAGTTTTACGTTTACGGTCACTTAATTTAAATATTTTATAATTACTTGAAGTTAAATTTGTATTTAGAGTAGCTAAAGTTAATTCTGGTGAGCTAAATTCCTGTATTTTATATCTTTCGGGTATTGCATTAATACAATCTTGAATAAATTGTATCCAAATTAAATCTACTAATGTATTCATTTCATATTCATAACTATTATTTTCTATAATAATAGCAGTTAACCTTCCAATTTGATCCCTCATTTCTATATTAAAGTGGGGCTGATTATTTTGAGGATTTAAAATTTGTTGTTGTTATAGTAGTAGTTGTTGTTGTTGTTGTTGAGTATTAGATAAATTAATATCAACAGTACAACTATCAATATTAAAAATATCTAATAACCAAGCTGTATTAGCTTGTTTCATTATTCTATGCATTTCTAAAGTTCCAATATTATTTTCATTATCGAGATCTGAATTTCCAAAATATTTTGTAATAAAAGGTAATGCATCAAAACTTTGATTAATGGTTTTCATTAGATATAGTAAAGAAATTCTAAATGCTTCATGTTTAGAAGTGAGAAGATCAGGTATAGGATGAAAGGAAAGATTATATGCATTTATGAATGTTTTTAATTTAGCAATTTTTAAATTCGATACTAACTTAGTAGGAATAATATAGAAAGGTTTAGAATATAAAAAATTATATACTCTATTTTCTAGTTTAGCAACAAATGGAACAAGATTCTCATATATAATTCTATATTCTGCTCTAGCACCAAAATTTGTATTAACAATTTCATTCAAGATTTCAATAGAAGCTTCACAAACTTTATTGATTTTTGTAGGATGTTTTATAGCATTATTTTCATTTAATTTTTTTAGAAGTGTAGTTGTTGCAGCTGAAAATGCTTCCTTTTCAACATTATACACCTGTGCATAATATATATGATTTCTTTTACCAATTTCTTTAGCTTCACCAGATCCACCAGCAAGCTCATATGTATGAAGAAAATTATCAATTCTTGAAAGTGTAGTATTTGTTGTAAATATTGTACCGAGTCCTTTTAAAAGATTTATAGCTGAATTTCTTGCCCAATAAACAGAATTAGGTTGATTATATCCAGTAGGCATAAATTCAATGCCAAAATCTATTTTAGCAGCATTTTTCCAGCTAATATTATTAGTTGTATCAAAATTATTATCTATAAAAGATATAGCTTCATTTATCTCTTTAAATTCATAAAATTTTGTATCAAGTTTAAGGTTTTTAGCATAAATATGATAAAAAAAATGTTCAAATTGTTTTAAATTATCATTAGATCTAATTTTGGCCCTCATTGTTTCTGTAAGTGGGAATAAAAATGAATTAGGAAGACTATAAGAAGAATGATTATAATAGCCAGAATCATTTTTTGATTTAAGACAATAAGCTCTAAAAGTAGAAGGATAATGATGTAAAATATCTAATGGGCAATGAATTTCTTTTAATGAAGGTATAAATATTTCATCATACCAAATAGCTAATACTTCATTTTGTAAAAAACTATTTCTAGAACCATCAGTATATTTTGAAGGAAAAAAAATTAAAATTTTAAAAACACCATTATCACCAAACTGAGCAAATTGAAAATGTGGTACATTAACTAATTTGACATGTTTTCTAATATTGTTATTAACCAGAACATAACAATATTCATGATTATGGCGATTTAAATTCCAGAAAACATTTGTAAAACAAAAAAATTTAATAGATTTTTTAATAATTTTTAAATTATATGTAGTTAATAAAAAGGAGTCAATATCATATCTAAATGATATTTTTCTAGGATGGTCTAATTTAAACTCAGAAAAATTAATATGTGGAAATATTGGAAAACCTTCAGCTGCATAATTAGTTATTTCACCATGTAATGCTTTTTTAATATCATCTAATGTTGCATTATCCTGAGTTGCAGGAAGAAGATAATTATTTAAATATTCTTGTAAAGATAAAGATAAAGAATTTTCAAGTCTATTTATAGGAGAAAAAGTATCAGGAGAAGTTGCAAGAATAATGCTTTCTAATTCAGCAGGATTAAATACTGGCTTATCAGTATTATAATTATCATTATAAATATCATCTTGATTACTATTCTGAAAATATGGAATATCTTCATCATTATCATTTTTAAAATCACGAATATAATCATTATCTTCAGTATCACTAATAGTTTCATCATCTGAAAGTGGAATAATTTCAGGTTCAGAATCGATTACTTGATTATATTGAGAATTTAAAGACATTGTAAAATCACTAAGTTTTATAATTAAAATTTAAAGCAGGTTGTTGTATAAAAATTGAGGTATAATAAATTTAATAAATTTATAAAAGCTTGGCAAAAAAACATTATAGAAAAATGACCTGCTTTTATAAAATTTTTTTTGAGTTTTAATTCCATAAAAATTAATCTAACTTTAGTGGAATTAAACTCCTAATTTTATTCGGAATTAGGAGTTTTAATTCTAGCTAAGAATAATTTTGATAGAATTAAAATTTTTAATTCCAAATAAAATTAGACTGGAGTTTAATTCCCAATTCCGAATAAATTAGGAGTTTTAATTCCACAAAAATTCCATCGAAATTAACTAATCCCAGTGGAATTAAAACTCCTAATTTTATTTGAAATTAGAAATTTTAATTCCATCAGAATTTTATTTGAAATTAGAAATTTTAATTCCACCGGAATTCTAACAAATTAATCTAACTTAAAATTTCTAAATTAGGAGTTTTAATTCCACCGGAGTTATATTAATTTTATTAGAATTCTGATGGAATTATAATTCCTAAATTTCCCAATCTAATTGGTAATACGTTTCTAATGATCATGCTAAATTAGGGCTAGTGTTCCTATTTTTAGTTCAGGTTGAACCAGGTTCGGCCAAACTTGAACCGAACTCCGAGATCTAGAACCTGAACTCAAACATGAACACAGAATTGGCCAAATTTTTTCTTTGAAACACATAAGGTAGCTGCACAACGTCATCGTGCAAAACCAGGAACGGGAATATTAAGTTGCTTAAAATTTTAAGTTAGCTTGAATCAGGATTTTGCGATAATTGATCTGATATATTAAATTTAGATCATGTGTACAATTATGGATGTTAGTCAGTTCGACTAAAATTGGTCTTGCGCTCTGAGCACTTTATTTTGATCATCAATTATCCATCATTGAACTGATTTTAAAATATAGTAATTGTGGTGTTAAATACCGTTTAAATTCGGTTTAAAATCTTCTGCTTCTAATTATAACAGTTATGATTAGTGCAAATGATATATATAAACAAACCTATAAAAAAGAGAAATTTGAACAGTATTTGAAATCTGCTGAAAGCGGTGATTCTGATGCGCAAAATAATTTTGGAGTCTGCTATTATAAAGGCGTAGGCACAAATAAGGATGAAAAGAAGGCACTTGAGTGGTATTTGAAATCTGCTGAAGGTGGCAATACTCAAGGACAATACAATCTTGGAGTCTGCTACAGAGAAGGCACAGGCACAGAAAGGGATGAAAAAAAGGCTTTTGAGTGGTATTTGAAATCTGCTGAAGGTGACAATGCTCACGGACAATGCAATCTTGGATTCTGTTATAAAAATGGCACTGGCACAGACAAGGATGAAAAGGAGGCATTTGAATGGTATTTGAAATCTGCTAAAGGTGGTGATTCTCATGGACAATTAAATCTTGGAATCTGCTATGAAAAAGGAACAGGAACAGACAAGGACGAAAAAGTGGCATTTGAATGGTATTTGAAATCTGCTGAAGGTGGCAATTCATATGGACAATGCAGCCTTGGATTCTGTTATTATGAAGGCATCGGCACAACTAAGGATGAAAAAAAGGCATTTGAATGGTATTTGAAATCTGCTGAAAGTGTTAATGCTCAAGGACAGAATAATCTTGGATGCTGCTATGAGAAAGGCATAGGTACAACCAAGGAAGAAAAAACGGCATTCGAATGGTATTTGAAATCTGCTGAAAGTGGTAATTAAATGGGTAATACAATGTTGGAAACTGCTATGAAAATGGTACAGGCACAGATAAGGACGAAAAAATGGCATTGAATGGTATTTGAAATCTGCTGAAGGTGGCGATTCATATGGACAATGCAACCTTGGATTCTGTTATTACTACAGCATCGGCACAGCCAAGAACGAAAGAAAGGCATTTGAATGGTATTTGAAATCTGCCGAAGGTGGTAATTCTGCAGCACTAAATAATATTGGATACTGCTATGAGAAAAGTATAGGCACATTATTAAGAATGTACGTAGAATACTATAAAGAATCATGCATTTAGTTTATATAACGCCTTCAAAAGTTTGAATTACTTCAATATCTGTTCTTTATACTCTGTATTAAAATGTTAACATTTAATAAATTTTGTTTACGATGGAATGATATTTTGAATTTAATAGATCATATTAGTTTATATAAATCTAAAATTGATTTTATTTATACCAATATAATAAAATGTGGTAGCATAATTGCTAAGTTTAATATTGTATTATACTGTATCCCTTTGTTTTGCTAAAAACTCTGTTGGTATTTGTCGATTAGTCTTAATTTAATTGACATTACGAATTGATTGAGACCGTTAGGACGTTATATGGTAATGGTCTAGACTAGAGATGAGGAAAATGTGGATTTTATAATAACATGTGCATGTTTTGTAAAATGTGCATGATATTGCATGATAAAATTTTTTTGATTTTATACTTTTTCCTCCGGAAATATCGGATATTTGCCAAAGTTTTTTCCCCCGATCCTTCTCATCTTTATGTTCATTCATTTTCTTTTCGGAATTTTTCAAACCTACTGCATTCCTATTTCTTAATTTTGTCTGGCATTATACACCTTGGCCTAAATTAAATATAATTTTCCTACATAAAATTTAGATGGAACGAAATGCGAATGAATGCGCATTAAAGCGCACGATTGAGGAATCATGCGCACGCATGAAACCTATCTCTAGTCTAGACTAGTGATTGTATAATACCTGAAAAATTTTCGTGTGCAGTGCGTATAGCTCTTTTCTGGCATCTGATTGGCTGGGACAAGCGATTAACAAAGATTTTAGCATACTGTAACCATCATAAGGGAGCTTGCTATTTTCATGCCGAGTTTAACTCCAATGGTTGACGTTAGAAGGGTCACATGACCTGGACAATAAACTATACTGTCGATATATGACTTATATTTTGACTATGGATCCACATTCTGCGCTCTAATATGAAAAATCCTTGCAAAAATTTGATGTAAAATATAAAAATATTTTAATTTCTAATCTAACTTAAACATAGATTTTTTACTTTAAATATTACTGTATTACGCATATCGAAATTGGTTTGATTCTTCGAAGAGATCTATTTGTGCATAGTTATCGATGTCTCAACTTAATGAAATTAAAGATCCCTGGTAATAATATTATATACTTTTTTAAACGAAAATATCTCAGCAATTATCTATATCATAGAATAAAAATAAAAAAAAATTATCGAATTTAAGTGGGCAGTTATTATGGTATTACCGAACAAAGTTTGGAAAAATTTAACTGCTGACTTTGTTTTATCTTCAAACGATAATATCTTGACAGCAAAGTTTAAATTGACCAATCAGAATCGAGGATAATTAATACTGATATTTTGAATTGAAGTAGAAAGGCATTAACAAAAAAATACCAGCTGACTCATGTTCTGATAAACTTGAATCGGAAGGTGAAAAGGACTTGGTGGACGATAAACTAATAAGAAGTGCATACATTGCTTTCGAATACTTTGATTAACAAATTATTTTAACTTTCCGCTTAAATTAACCTAATAATGAGAAATGACAGTAATCTATAATCTTACCGAGATAGAATAACCTAAGGCGTAGCAAAAATTTTCTTTCCATATTTTAGACAATACATACTGACTAATTTAATATAAATATAAAGAAATGACATATTTTAATGAATTATTTTAAATACACTCACTATTATAATCATCACCACTAAATCAATGAAATAAGAAATCAAAATAAAAGTGAATAAACATCATTTATTTTTTCGCAACGGCTGGAATAGTGCTCCGAACGGGTCGGGTTATGAGCTAGGGTCTGGTTGACAATTTTCGGGTTAGAAATTCAACCCGAAACGAACCCGAACTGAAATTTTAAGGCCAATATATTAAATTTTTTTTAATAAATGAATCCAAACGCCATTTTTGCTCTTAAACGGTTAATAATTCATGTGCTTATAATTTCAGCGGGCTACAGCAAGAATCGTGCATTGCACATTCAGAAGTCAATGAAGGCTTTTTTTATTTTTGTTTTATGGATTTTTGGAATTAATAGAAAAAATTTGCCGAATACTGCGTCTCATAAAATTTAAATTCTTCTTCCCAGACCGGACTCATTGACCGACCCGGCCGGGTTATGACCAAAATTAACTTGCATGGCCTAATATCAACATATTAAATTTTCGTTCCAAAACTTGTCTAAGATGTTTGGTGTAACTAGTTTGCACAAAAGGTTATGGATGAAACTGCGCTTGTCAACCAATAAATCTTAGCGAACTTTTATAATAAATATATTAAAAAAAAATTAAATGTGACTATGAATTTGTTGACTTATTTAAAAATGAATTTCAGGTTAAGATTCCATACGATCAAAATTTTATTATATTCGTTGAGAATGCAAGAATAAATACATGAAAAATTGTGATAAACAAAATCAAAGTAGAAAATTTATATACAGCATAAATAACGAAATATTACTTTTTTTATATTATATTTCTACCAATTTAATATTCGTTACGATTAGTATTTTAACAATCACTTAGATTATTTCAAAACTAGTATTAAAAATATTCTTGTAATATACAAAAAAAATACAATTTAGTAGTAAAATAATTAAATACTAAATATTATTTAAAAAGAAAAATTAAATATATAAGCCCTGCTAAAATCCTCCTATACTTTAATATCAAATCTAATCCTAAACCCTAACCTAACCTAACCTAAAAAAAAAAAAGCGAAAAAAAACACATGTGAATTCAAGCCGTGTTGTATAGCCTTCAAAGTTTCATCTCGAATTGTAATTCATACAAATATCAGTCCAGTTTTCCCCTCAATATTAAAGTTTTAATATGTTTTACATCGATTATGTCTAATAAACATGGTTTTCCTAAAGCGACGGAAGTGTTTTAACACATCCATATCTTTGAAACTACTTAAGAACCCGACTAATAGAAGATATACCAACAC